GCATATAAAGGATCTCCAGTGGGGTAAACTTTGCTACCATGGTATTTTCCTGAGAACTTCTGGTGCATAAAAAAATCACGTTTCCTTAACCAGAAAGGAATGAACCACTGCACAGTGCATTTTGAAGCTGTGCAGAGTCGCACAATCCTAATGCATATAAAGGATCTCCAGTGGGGTAAACTTTGCTACCATGGTATTTTCCTGAGAACTTCTGGTGCATAAAAAATCACGTTTCCTTAACCACTATTTAGTTGAGTAAATTGGGAACCATTAAAACAAGGAAAACCAGATCACATTGCAAAGAATGATGCTCATGCATTTGAAGACTGCTATCACTCACAGCACTTTACATTAGGTGAATTAACAAGCTATGGTGAACCGAGAGAAATGTATACCAGAAACAAACAGGAAGTGACTGCTGGGACTTGGCACTGTCAAATGTCACCATATGGAAAAGGTTAGAAACTTTTTGAAGGCTCAGTTCCTAAATGGCTGGTGCGAAGGCAAATAAAACCACATTGGGGAATTTAATTAATTTACTTTTATTACTCCATAATGATTTAAGACCTCAAAAAATATTAATAACTCAGATAAGAAAAGTCAAGTAACAACTCTTGCAATTTAACTAAGCAACACTATATTATCTCCACTAATTATAACACAGCCTTGCTTCAGAATATCTCCCACGTTACAGCAATTTCATTACTAACAAAAACCACTGGGGGTGAAGGAGAGGAAGAAAGCTTTGTCCCACATACCTTACAAGTGTATTTATCTTACTCAATACACCACATTTTCTTGCATTTCCTAAATTGTACTTTCTGCTCCAGAATGTCTGCTTCATGCAAAAATAAACAGAGGCCAGCTACTCAATGCAGATTTGAGAGCAAAACACATATCCAACAGAGGTTTTGCATTAACTGGATATGGAGCCATTAAAATAGGAAGCTAGGTCAGTGATAAAAGTGCTACTCTTCATACGCAGTTTTTTGCACAGTACTCAAGACAAGAGTGGGAGCTGTAACTGTGCTCATCTGACAACTATACCTCCACGTGCCCAGGGATTGTTTCATTTATTAATCTTCTGATCCTCAAGGTGAGGAGAATTCAAAGAGAAAAAGTGTGAGCTCTAATTTGAACTTTCCCTTGTCGACACGTTTCTGCTATAAAGAACTGAAGAAAGGCCATCTTTTTAAGGAATGTGCTTTGCACTAGAGCGATTAACTTAAAGCAACTAGAAGCCAGCTGATGACAGGCAGTTTTCAGGCTGTAGCCCCAAGAACTGAAGTCATCTGTTTAAGGAAGGCACTGACTCTGCCTGTCTTAACCAGCATCTTTAAAAATGAAGAAGCCAAATTTAACACACACATGGAGAACTTTCCATTACTTCAATCTCCAGTGTAACCCTGCTTGTAACACAGTATCATCATATACACTACTTCAAAACTGTCTGACTACAGTTTTAAAAAGTTTTCAAAAATCCAAAATATATATTCTTAAAATATTTGTTGATTTTGGTTTTTGTTTTGGTTTGGTTTTTGGTTTTTTTGGTTTTTTTTACCCAGGCATGTTTTATGTGCTAAATATTTAGGTATCCCAAAATGAGGGGGAAAGATGAGTAGACATTACAAAACGAAGAGTTGTTTCCATTAGGGATTTTGGCTCAAAAGTGCTCAAACTTCACAGCATACCTGTCATCCATTTATTCACTAGTGTTTCCTCCATGGAACACAAACTCCACAGATACAAAAACCTTCCAGGATGACACTTAAAGATACTGGCTTTAATTTTACAGAAGTCTGAATCAGTTTTGGTCCTGATTTCCTTAAAGGTACCTACTTGCTACAGTGTCACTCTACAGCCAAGTGTGAGGCTTTAGCCAAGAGTTCCTAGCGACAAGCAACATGTTGGCCTAAAGAATAGTCCTTTACACCACTACTTCTTCCCTCCTTCTCAAGTTGGCAGACACAAACACATATTGATCTTCAAGTTTTCTCTTTGGTGTAATTAACAATGGCCACATTTTGACACAGATATGCTTTAAAGTATTCTAAAAATTTAAGAGATAGATATGCATAAACTAAAACTGCACCCATAACAGAAGTTACAATGATGTCCAGCCATATCACCAACCTGTTTTTCTTAGCAACTGACTGTAAAAGTAGTTCCACTGAAATCAAGCTAACAGCTTGCCAAGGAAGTTGCTATCCACTGTGGGTAAGCTATGGCAAAATTGGACAACAGTCTTCTAAACAGAACTGTGAACCAATCATTAGCATATCACAAACAAGCAATAAACTTTGGTGTAATTACATCTGCCAATACAATACTCTTGCTTTGCATCTTCTCATTCTCTTATTCACCCCCTGCCCTCAGCTAAGTAATCAATTGGTTTTATTTAGGAAGAAAAGAGCAAAGAGTAAAAACTGCCTTTGAGAACTACAGATGTTAGAAGTTTTTAGGCTTCTGTTTGTGCTAGTAAAAGGGGTGGTTTGTTCTTGTACGTATATTTCCTAAATCTTGTTATACACACATTAAAAAAATCCACTCCTGAGTGATTCTGTCTGCAAAGTATCACCATATGGTAGCTTTCACAAATGATCAACTGTACCAAAACATCTAAAAATAACATCTTCCTTAAGTAAAACAAAAACAATTATCAGTGGAGACTTTTGGGTATAGTTCTGAGCTAAGGAATCGATACCACATCACTGAAATGCTTCAAGTAAGTAAATAAGCAACCTCTGGAGAAAAATAGCACAGTCCTAAATGGCCCACAAGCATCAATGATAAATGTAATATACATGCTTTGGGTTCTTTCAAAAGTCTATTCTTAGATGCAAAACAAACTCAATCCATTTAATTAAAACCTTAGCTTACAAACACATCCACCAAGTAAGTGAAGCTTAACAAATCTAATTTGAATGAAAGGGACTGGCTGGGTAAAAGAGCAGCTCCCTGATGTTCCTTGCTGTAGTGGTTTCATGTAACCACTGATCACCAACTACTACAACAGCAAACATACAACACCCTTAAACTAAATGGGAGTTGTCTGTCTAAATATAGCTACTTTTAAATAATGCATTGTGAGTTATAAAATAAAGTGCTACTGAATTATTTAACATGGGTCTCATCTTTAACAATGATATATCACTTTTAATTAAATTGAAAGAAAGATGTTTATATTTGGAGTTGCATACTATTGTAAATTGCAACCAGTAAAGCAACATTTTAACTCCAGTTATGTCAGCAGTCAGTTTTTCCTATATATATCTGATTCACAGAAATAGAACTGGGACTGAAGCTAAGATAAGCAAAAGCAAGACTTGCAGAGCTGTCTTAGATCTTCAGGGGATCCCAGCTCAGCATTCATTCACAACCTTCAGATACAGAATATCCCACCCGTCTGTAACAGTTGGCAAGAATTGGCTGGGATCTCAAACTCACCAACCTGTGTCGATAACATTCATAATAGGCATGTTTTCCTCATGCAAGTATCAACCTCTTCGAGAGCAAACACTCAAATGCATTAATACCAGTACAGCTAATAAAGGCATTGTGCTCTGTAACTTTTAAAACGTTCTGAAGACACAAAAGGGTGTTAAAGCTGAAAATCTGTGTAGAACTACCTTTCCAACACAATAAAACAGTTGTATATTATTTAATCTAGTAACCTTTCAACCAGGCCTAACATTAGTAAATGCAAAATTAACATTTAGCAACAAAATGAAATGACACATCTTGTTTAGGAGGTTTCAGGAACAAAACTGCTTTCCACCTCACATAACGGAGTAACATTACTGTTTAACAATCACTGTTTGAAGGTGGCCTTTTGCACGTAGTGCATGGTGCAAAAGCCCAAGGGAAGAACAGCACCAACCGGACAGGACTTCACAAACTAACTTTAATGGGTGCTCTGTAGAGGAAACAACACCACATGACCTATTGTGTAGAAGTCAAACCCTAAGTGTGATCAGTTCAGGCCTGCATGTAGTCACTTTGCCCCTCAAAACAGACACTTCCAAGAAAAACCCTGATCTTCATGTCATTGCATCAATAAACTCCCTCCAAGGGGGTTTTGTGCAGAGCCCATCACTGACTGTGGACCACGGTTTGTAGAAAGTCATGGGATCTACACAGCAAGTCTGTTTCATTATGTTTATGCGTTCAAATGCCTGCTTGTTGATTTTATAAGGGGGGGGGGGGGGAAATGAAATAAATTCAACATCCACGAAAAAAGTTAATTCCACTGGGACAACTTCGGCAGCCCGAGACAGCCAAAAAAACCTGCATTAACCTAAAATTTTGACAGCTGCTTTACGCATGCAATGCTACGAGCGAGGATGTATAGAAGTTTACTTCTCTTTCTGCGAGGTGCCTTTCAAAGTGGAAGCCGCCTTTCCCTCCTTGGCGGCGCTCCCGAAGAGGAGCCCGACGTGCCACCGCGGGCTCGGTGCCTGCCGCTCTGGCGGGGCGCACGGCAGCGCTGCCCGGGACCGCCGGGGAACTCAGAAGGGTGGGCGGCGGGTATGGAAAGTGGCGAGGAAGGGCTCGCTGAGCCAGCCCACCCGCGCCGCAGGGTGGCAGGGCGGGATCCCCGCGGCAGCGGTGCCCGCCGCCGAGGAAGAGGAGCCGGAGGGAAGGAGGGAGGGAGGGAGGCAGCCCGCCGCTTCCCCCACACCCAGGACGCCCGGCAGGGCAGGGCGGCTGCCGGGGCAGGCAGCTTCCCCTCCGGCCAAGCGGAGCGCCGCAGCCCCGGGGGGCTCTTCCTGCCAGCCGGGGACAGATGTGGACGCAACAGCTGGACGGGGAGGAGGGGAGAGGAAAGGAAGGAAGAGGCACGGTTGTCTCACAACCCCCCCCGCCTGCCCGCCGCCGCTCCCGGGGATGCGGGCGGGATGCAGCGGCTGTCCCCGGCTCCGGGTTAGCCCCGCTTTGGGATGGGGATGGAGAAATCGGCCGTGAAGGCGGCGGGGCTGGCCGGCTCCTGCCCCCCTTACCTTGCTGCGGATCTGGCCCGAGGTGGACACTTTCCGGATGAGTTTCTGGGGGCCCTCGTGCTCCCCTTCGCTGTCCGACGACTCGTCCGCCGGCCCCGCCGCCGCCGCCGGGGGTTGGGGCTGGGGCTGCAGCGGGATCCCGGCGCCGCTCATCCCCGACTCGGCCCCGGCCATCTTCCCGGACTCCTACCGAGAGAAAGCACACGAGCCCGGCTCAGCCAGGGCAGCCGCTGCCGCTCCCCTCCCCGGGGAGGAGGAGGAGGCGGCGCGCGGGCCGCCCCCGGCAGGAGCGTGCCCTCCCCTCAGGTGAGCGCCGGGGCCGGTCCGGCCGGGCAGCGGGGAGGGCGCCCGGCGCCCCCGCACCTGCCAGGGCTTCCCCGAGTGTCCCGGCGTGGCCGCGAGGTGGGGCGCGGCACCGGAGCTGTGCCGCCCGGGGACACTCGGAGGGGGCGAATGGCGAGCTCCGAGCGCAAGGACGGCGAAAGCGGGCGGGGGCCGTGCCGCACCTTGCCCTGTCCCGGCCGAGGGCTGTGCCGCTCTCCCTGGGGAGCGCAGGATGTCTTTCGGGACTGGGACAGACAGCTTCTGGTGCGAGTGGCTCCTTATCTGTATGCTATTCCTCCGGCCCCCGTGGTAACTATCCATCAGCGCCAAAGCCTTGGACAGTTTTAGTAGATGTATCTATTGCTTTCCAGTTATTTTCTCATAGTAGCTTAATTTTCTTCTTGTTCTGTTCATTGTTGTCTTTGTGAAAGAGCAGCCCTTACTTGTGGGGAAAGCAAGGGTCAGTTTTCCTTTTTCATCTCAGATCTGGCAGCTCACACAATCTTGAAATGTCACCACATGTTCTGAATTGTGGGACTTTGAAATTATTGTGGCTTGTATGTAGTCAGTGTTCAAAATAAGTGTTTAAATCACAGCAATACTAAATAAAACACACAAATCCTAGCTGCATGGACCGGATTAAGCATAAGAAAGCAATCAATGCTTGTGGCTTCTATATTCCCACAATTCTATTTATATTTCCAGGAAGGGAAATAACATCTCTTAACATGCTAATATAATGCCACAGTACCTAAATACAAACCATTTAATGAGGAAAAGTAAACAACTGTACAACCTATCCTACACTGCAGACACCTTGCCACAGTCTGAATTTCAAATAGTCCAGAGTTTGTATAGTCCAGCCAATTTCTTTTATTAGGGTTTTTATTTCTAGTAGTATAGGGGAAAGCAATATTTCCATGAAGTCTTGGAGTTCTTGTGGCTTATTTCTGTGTACTGCAGCAGATACTTCCAATACAATTCTACTGCCCACCTCCACATAGGACCAGTTGTGGAGGTTATATTTTAAAAAATATCAAAAGTAACATTTAAAAATTCAAAATATCTATTAAGTTCTATTTCAAAGGCATTTTGATCAAATTACCTACATGCTCTATCAAAATATTAATAAGGCCTAAATCCTATCATTAATACCTCATCTCAAAATGATTGTGAAACTAAGGACTAATTCTGTCTTATCTCACTCTTCACCTGAGAGGGAGTTCTCCATTTTTCAAAGCATGGGATCAAACTTGAGCAGGTGCAAGTATGCATTGCTCTCAGTACGTAAGTTTAGGGCACAGCTAGGAAGAAAGATAGTAAAAGCAATGTTTATGGACACTGTCTTTCCACCCTCCTTTCTTCCTCTTCTCCATGTGAATTTAGAGAACAGCACATTATGCCAGAACATGTCTCACTGTAATTCCTTAATTCTTTTGAAGGTAAATGTCTTTGAATATTACAAGGGGACAACAAGATATAGTTTCTTAGCATATTGCACATAATAGTAATTGTGATTTGAGAAACACTTGGTTCTAATGGAACACAAGCAAGACTGGCTACATTTAATTCAACTGAATTAAATAGTGCTGGCTGAACAGTAGTAGTTACTGTTAGAATAAATACAATTCTTCAACTTCTGTTCATTTTTAGAGCTCAACTGTCAGCACTACTAGCTGCACACTTTCTGCACCATGCAGAGGGTACCATGCATCTTCACCTGGGTTACCTCAGTGTGCTCTTCCTCACTCATGACTATCCAAACACAAAAGTGTGGTTGTGGAAGCCTTTTACTTCCAAGCAAGTCTCTTTCCTCATGTCTTGGTAAACTGCAGAGTGTATGAAAAAACCAAAAAGTACTAGGAATGTTCTCTCAGTTTACTTAATTTTAGTATTTAGTAGATTTTAGTAGCAATAACCTAAGTCTGCAAATGATAAGAAATGTCCCACAAGAACGCTTCAACAAGAATATGAGAACATGGGTTTCTGTGGAGTACATAGTGGATTATGTGACGTTATGGGCTATAAAGTCTGCAGTTGTTGACTTCTATCCATTAATCTCGCAGCTGGATTTCTCCCAGGTGATCGATGTCAGACTCAATATGAGAAATATTGGATAGCACCTTTCAGCCCAGTGACCACAGCTACAAATACTCTGGCACAAATGGTACCACTAGACTTCTGCAAGTTGAGCTCTTGAGCAATGTGGGACTATGTGTAGCCATTAAAAACACATACAGTATTTGCATGTGCTGTGTCTTTCACTTAACAGTTTCACACTTCTTAGTAATGACCTTAAATTTCCTAACTGAAGCAAGGGACTAAAAAGCATAAAGAAAGGATACTCATTTAAAGGAAAACACTCAAACAACAAAAAACAGCTCTACTGACATCATTTGTGCTACAGCAATTAATATCAGCTGATAAACTGCCCTTTATGCAGTACATACATATTTACACTGTGATATTGTGTACATTTAACATACATATATATACACTGTGAGAACATTCTAACTCAACCACATTGAGTTCCAATAGGACATGTGTCACTAAAATGCATATGCAATATAGAACAAAATCTAAATACACATGCACTCTAGCTGCACTGAAGATTATAGTTTATAATACAGATTGCTGCACTATTGGATTTCAGCCCTAAAACTCATTCCCTTTGTAACAAACATTTGCACATCTTTTTTTCTAAGTCACTTTGGCATCTATAAACTAAAGGGTAATGCTTTTCTATCCTTCACCTCAGAAAGCTTTTCTGAGGGAATTTGAATCAATAGTGTGTCAGATTAACAATGCATTATTCACCATCTTTAAAAGATTTTATTGAATCTTTCTTAATTTTGGTGGTTAGTGATAGCTGTGGTTTTCAGCTGGACTCCCCACTCTGAACAAGTTTATTTCAGATCTGCCTGTCTGAACTCCCTCTGCAGATCGAATTAGTGATACTATTCTTTCTCGACTTCCTTACTTAGCAAAGAGGAAGCCAAAATATAACAACATGTATCCATACCACTGTTAATGGTAACTACATCACTTGTGTCTGGATTGGGATTAGCCAAGGGAATTCTATAACCTGTAGGTTACAATATTAAGGAAACTAATAAACTATGTTGTGTGCTTCGAAGTTAAAAGGTCCAAACCAGGGCAGGTAATAAAAGTAAACAGATGCTTTGTGACTGTGTTAGGACTTAGGTATGCATTTGAAAAGTAAGGTAAAGCCAAGACTCAGGTCTCATATAAAATATGAAAATTGTGTCCAGAGCTTTGTGAGTCATGTGTTTTGCCCATTTGTACTACAAAGCCACCAAACCTCCCTTGCAAGAATGCAGAGTGAGCCTTACATTTTAAGTCACTTTTACTTAGCTCCATTATGGGGTTTTGAACAACTCTTGCTGGATTCAGGAAGAGCTTTTCCATTAAAAAGTGTGGTGTGAGTTAAGGAAAGGACTTTATAGAAATTTGAAGCAGTACACAGACAAATCCAACCCTGATGAGCAAAGGACTTGTCACTGCATGTAATGTCCATAACTTATTTCTCAGAATGGCTATAGGAAGAGCATTTCTCAATAATCTGGCAATTTACATAGGTTATTAACTTGCACAGATACAAAACCTGCAAAAAATAGTTTTCCCTATCTTACTGCCCTTTGTTTCATGTTTTAAGAGCAGGGGAGAGAGTATAATATGTTTTCCCTTTCATCATTCAGGTCTTCACCTAAATCTCCCTTTGCCCCCATTATCATAAAAAGCCTGCTTATGAGCAGATGGAAAGAACAATGTAGCTCTTGCCACAAAGATCATGTATGTTACCATCAGGTTACCAGGTAAAGGATTGAGTGGATCAGCTGAAATTAGAGTCTTGTAAAGGAAATCAGTGCAGTGGTTAACCTTAAAACTGCATTCATGGATGTACTCTTTAACAAATGCAGCAATGAAGTTATAGACATGACCCAAATCCTGGCCCTTACTGGGGGAGGGGGAAATGGAGAAAAAAAAAAGATATGCTCCTTGTTTATCTAAGCCGTGTGCACGGAAGGAACCGGGCTTGGATGCTTCAGCCAGGACTCTGCATTTCCAAGCGGAGAGGGGCTGCAATCCATCTGCCTTCTGAGTTTCAGCTGAGTTTTGGATGACGGCAGCAATTTAAATGTCACTGTTTAATAGGATAACACATTCACAGGAATTGACTTTGCTGCCTTCCTCCCACGATGTCTTCATCTCTCCAGGCAAAAATCTTGGGTTTTCCTTGCCTGATCCTTTCAATGTCAGCTCCATGTTACCGGAACACACATACAGCTGTTTTCCCTATCACAGCTGCATCTCCGGCAACAGTTTTGGGGCTTGAGGACTGCAGAGGGCAGCGAAGGGGGATGTTCAACTTAACAACAAATATTAGGACAGTAAAAATATATTTGTGAGTGCTACAAATCCTAACAAGGAAGTGAGTGAGCTTAGTTCCTTGTGGGTATCTCCAGGGCTTTGCTGCTGCTTTCCTGAGGGTGTGCACACCAAGCCACACAAAGAATGGGTCTCGCCCGTTTGCTCTTTAAAACTGGGTTTATAAGTAAAACCTGGATCAACAAAACGAGTTAGCAAAACATGGTACAGCCATCTAAAGGGGAGCTTAGCAGTGGCACGGGTCCATGCTTCATGTTGCCTCGCCAAGTTCAGGGCCAGAGGCAGCCTAGCCTTGACCTCTTAGATAGCCTGAAATCTCCCAAGCAGCTACCCAAAGCCTATTTTTAGCCCTCCCTGCCTGATGTGTGTGTGTGTGTTTGCACAATGGAGAAAAGCCCAGGAGCGGGACCAGACTGCCCTGAAAAGGGAAATCTGATTTTATCGCCTGCTGAGGATGCCGGTGACATGATTTCCTTTGGTTGGAAGGAGGGTCTTCCAGTTGCTTAAACAAACCGCAAAGCACCTCGCCTCAGCTTTCCTCCTGGCCAGTTTGAGCGCTCCCCTCCCTTCGCAGCGGCCCAAAGACACTTTCCCCACACGGCTGGGTGACAGCGGGGTATCCCCAGCCCTGTGCCGCTTCGCCGCTGCGATGGGAGCAATTCGCAGCCAAGCTCCAGAAGAAGAAAGGGGGGAAAGTGTGTGTCTCTTTCTGAAAGCTGCCTCCCAACGCTGTTTGGACACGTTGCTTTTGCGGTGCTAAGAGAAGGAGTTTAACGGTGTCAACATCCAACCCACCCCCCTCGGCAAAGTTGAAGGCAAGGCTCTCGGTGCTAATCCCAGGCTTTCCACCCGGACAGTGAAACTCAGAAAGGGCAATGAACTCCTCGTCTCCCAGAGGGACGAGCTCGTCAGCAAATGGCCAGACACGGCGGGGGCGAAAGGCTCCCACCCCCCGCTCCCCGCGGGGAGGGGACGAGCGCCGGCGGCAGGGCTCTGGCGTGGAGCGGGGTCGGAAGAAGGGAAGGGGGGGCTGGAGGGCACAGATAAGGATGATAGCCCGACCCCCCGGCTGAACAATACAGGCAGGAAAAAGGGTTGGAAACGCCTGTGCAACAGCAAGGCACGCATGTACCTACCAGCTCCTCCCAGGCGGGGCTGCGGGCGCTATAGGAAGGGTACCCATGCTCCTCCATCACCCCACAGCAGGTCCCCAACCTCCGCGGGGAGAGCGCCGACGGGCAGCGGAGCTGGGTCCGCCGGGCTGCGCCTCCCTCCCGCCGCTGCCGCTGCTCCTGCTGGCAGCGCTTCCCTGGCGCCGCTCGTCCTCCCCCCACCCCGGTCCCGCTCCTCCCTTTTCTCCCCCGGCTATGTCCAGGCCCCCTCCTCCCTCCCCGCCCGGCTCCTTTCCCTCCCACGGCCACCGGGCTCAGCCCGGCTCCCGGGGGAGCCGGCCTGCAGCTGCCGCGCCGCTCACATCACCGCCGCCTCCCGCCCGCCGCGCTGTCCCGGCCGCCCCGCACGCCCGGCCCCCTCCCGCCCGGGCAGCCGGCGGATCACGGGCAAATCGCCTTGGCGTAAGCCGGTTTACGGCCGCTCCTGCTGCCGGCGTCGCGGCGGGGCCGGCGGGCGAGGATGCGCCCGCGGCGAGGGGAGAAAGCCCCTCGGTGCGCCGGGAGCCGCTCCTGCCCCGCGGGGACACGCCGCCTCCCCTGGCCCCAGGCCGGCCCCGCCGGCCTCGGAGCGGGCCCGGAGCGCGGGCTCTGCGGCCCCGGCGGGCCCCGCTGGGCGTTGCGGGGAGCCCCGGAGGGAGCATCGCTGCTCTCGCATCACCCTGCCCCGAGCCAGCCAGGAGGGGCCGGGGTCAAGGCCCTGGTGCTGGGACAGCCCTCTGACCCCACTCCTCAGTACTGGGCTTTTGACACCCTTTGGATGTTAAATTGAGGGTGGAACAGCGCCTCGTTCCCCCGCAGCGGCACCGGGTGGTCCCACGGGCACGTTAAGACAAACTCCGGGGAGCTGGGACGCGGCAGAGCCACTGTGGAACAGACAGCACAGGTGTGTAGGCCATGTCTGACACAGTGGGGTCCTAATTTCCGGGGCCACCATGCCAACCTGATGGAGCAGTAGGATTTCTCTACCCTCTGTTACACCTTTTATTAATACACAGTGTGTATACTTCAGCCTTCTCGGTTTACTAGATACCAGCATCCTCTTGAACATCAGCCAAAGCATCAAAACCCTTCAAGTGGATGTTGTATCTCCTTTGAACTCAACACTTTCACTCATTTTTTTTCTCCCTGTTTTTGTGGAATAGCGGGATATGTGAAAATCTAGAAAAGGAGAGAGAAAAAAATTTGTGTAGTCACCATCCAAAATAATGGTGTACTTCATTCTACATTCAGCCTGCCCTTTTGAATTTGCAGCTACCATGTTTGATTACAACAAGTTATCTTCAGGTCATCTACTTGGTAAGCACAAACATGGACAAGAAAGTGTATTTCAGAAGAAAAAATAAAGGAATTTGTATTTGTAATTGGTTTTTAAAAATGTATTTTAATTTTCTTTGTGTTTTAAAGCTTTTTCATACCAAAAAAAGGCACACTGACATCTGAGCTTTAGTTTTTGCTGAATCCATCAATTTTAAAAGATGTAGGCGTACTATTGGTGCAAAAAGATGAATCTACTAGTCTACTTATCTACTCATTTAACTATGACTATAAAATACTCCCATGAAGTTGAGATGGTGCCACTAAGCCAGGCCCAAAGAATTGCCACAGCAGCTCACCTCATTTGAGGAACCGAAATTGGTGCACTTCTTCCAGATGCAGAAAAAGGAACTATTTTTGTTGATAATAAGTTTATCAGGAGTCAGTTGATGAACTGCCTTGATGGTATGAGTGTAACCTCAAAAGGAAGAAAACAAGATGACTTAAAGCATTTTGGTTTTTGGAAGGAAGCTTTCTGAAGCTAAAGGTGAGCAACAGTTGCCCAAGGATGTCTGGCCTCCTTCCCTTTGTTCCCTGAGTGTGAGAAGCTACTGAGGAATGTCATGTTATAAAGGGCTTTACACTAAGAAGGAGTGTCAGAGTAAGATTAGTCAGTTCCTCTCCTTTCCTCATGATGCACTGGAGGATCTCACATGGTTATTGTTTATCCCTCTACACATCTGGCCTCTTTAGCCTTGGTCATGCTGGAGCTTTGTAGTGAAAGTCACCTGCCATCAAATATATGTCATATATAGTCTCTCACATTCCCTTGCTTGCTGAACCACAAATACTGAGTCTCTTAAAACTCTAAGAGTTTTAAAGTTACTTCAGTTCACACACTATACATCCCCTTTTGCCCTGAAATTCAGATTCTTACTGTGCCTCCAGCCCCATTTTCTGTTTCTTCTGTCCTGAATTATACCTGTGACTAGATATGCAATTGTGCTCACCTCATTTCATTCCCCGGAGTTCAAACCTTGGTTTCCATAAGTGGAAAGCTAGTATAGGCCCCAGAAGATTATAACAACCTACTTAGGTTGGAGGTGTATTTCAAGGTCTTGTTGAATACGGACAGGCATCAGTTGCTGCACAGATCCTGCTTGGTCTAAGTGCAACCTATGCAATGCAATTCAGCTCAGCCCTGCCCTTTTGGGCTCCTGCATGCCAAAGCTGATTTTTCCGTTCTTTCTGTCAGGATGACAGATTGCTGTCTTTGCTAAGGGAGGCCTGCCCTGTGTGATTTCCCTCTGCTCACTGAGTTGAAGAACACAGTTCCTGATGAGACCAAGGTCTCTCTGCTGCTTGACTGAACTGGTTGAAAATCACAGGCGAAGGATTTTGCTGGAAAAGGTAATTCTGTCAAAGCCAACAAAGAATTTAAAGACAGATGTCAGAATCACAGCATTATTGGGGTACTTTTGTTTGGGAGCATACTGCTGCATTTACAGGGGGCCAAGGGAACTGAAGTTAGGCCCAAGGCAAGGATGTGACAACTAATCCTTATGGGGAAGAAAACACCCAAGATGTGTTAGTGAGGGGTAGAGGAGCTGCCTGCTGGAACAAGGAGTGACCAGCTGTTTGCTTTCCTTCTCCTTGGACTGGGAGAAAAACCTGTTGGAGGCAGCTGGAGCAGGAGCAGTAGTTCTCCTATCAGGTCTACCAAACTGCATCAAAACATCTCCAACATAGCCTGGGGGTCAATTTAATTTCATTCTGATTTTCTATATTTTTTTCCAAGTCATGTTGTTTCTTTGGATTATTTTGGGTTTTTTTTAAATCTTTTCCAATTTTTCCAACTCAGTCTAGACATTAGGGGTTTAATTTCTTGGTAGTAGGCTACTCTATCTAGTGTATTCAAAGTTGCCTCCTTTCCCTCTCTCTCTTTTGTTCCCTGCCCTCAATGACTCAGTGAAAACTTGAACAACAAATCAAATGTTTCATTATCGACTTTTTTTTACATTAAGTTAATTGAAAATAGCCTGCATTTTCTAAGCAAAATATTTTGGATATATTTGACACACTTAAATATATGAACTTCGATTCCAGTGCTGTGGTTGGACATTCACAAGAAGGTCCCCACCACTTCAAGCATTTCCTTTCTCTGGGGGTGGAAAAAGGAGCTTTCAATAATTTTCCTAAGTTGAAGTAAAATGACACTAAAAGAATGAGCTTTTTAATATTTTTCTGTATTTTTCCACCAGCATTGCATTCAGCGTATATTACATAGCAAATATAAACTAATTCTCATCAATTTATGCTAACATGAAACTTTCAACTTTACTTTGCATATAGTTATCAAACCTAATTAGAGTAAATTCTTCAAGGAAATGTTGTTCTTTATTCTCTTCACTGTAAACACGCCAGTTGGCCTTTTTTAAAAATAATTTTGCATAACACTTGAAGGTATGATTTCATCAACATGGTAGTTCCTGCCAGCCAGACAGGTAGCAACAACCTGCACTGGGTCATTAAAATGAAAAATATATTAAAAGCAGAGCAAAATGTACGTACCTCTCTGGTATCTTTCAGATAGAACTGAAGTTAAAATTGGGTCATTTAAAAAATAAAGGTATATTTTTTCAGTAACATTCTGATAGTTGCCTTCAAATCCACTACTTTCTGTTTGTAAGAGCATCTAAACTATTGAACAAATTCTGCATTTCTCCCAGTTTACATGGCCTAGTTCCTGGAACTTACACTGGCACCTGAGAAATGTTTTCAGCCTACAGTTTTCTTTCATGGACTTCCTCCAACATGTGCATTCTTGTTCATCATTATTTTTCTTCTCATTAGTCTAACAACTGCTTCAGCACACAACTAACTACCTGTAAGCAACAGGATGGTTTTTAACAATTCCCTTGATTTTTGGGTTTTACAAGTGGGAAATCATTTATGCAGCTGGAAGAATTACTTTCTAAATGAAGTGCTTCAGAAAGAAAGAAGTCACTGAGAAAAAAGCCTTGGGAAAAAGTGTTTTACTGGAACAGCAGCAGAGCCATGGAAGGGCAATCTACCGTCCACTTCATTTTCCTCACAGCATTTTTATTTCCCCTTCGAAATTCCCCACCCCCCACCACTATTAGCACCTCTTGCTTGTTCTGCTGGCATGGAGAACTACTTCAACACCTCTTTCTGAGTGCCAACATCAGGGACTAACATTGTTGAATGGTATTTTCCCTGTGGACTTTATTTTGAGACATCTGGCAGGGGTGGTGGGGAGGGTGTTTTTGTCATCCCACCTCTTTGACTGCTCTGACTTTCTGCTGAAGTCAACAGATACTCTGAAAGTCAGAAGGAAAATGACATGAAAGCACAGATGGCTGTAGGTGGTGCTTCCTCAAACCACTGCTAACCTTCACTAACCACCTCTGCCAGTACTCCTGGCTGTGGCCATGTACTAATTAATTTATTTAAGGATACTGGTGAACCAATAGCTTTGTTTCATAAAAACACCTTTGGAAAGAGCAATTCACTCCAATCTCTTAGACCCCTGATGACAAGGACTTTAGACCCTTCCTAGAGGATGTAGCTAGTAAATGACCTAAACCTGTTGCCCAATTTCTATCTCATTCCCCATAAATATGTGGAAACCACTCCGTGAGTCTTCACTAATAACTTTGTTGGGCTTAGAGGTTGTTGTCACACACTTCTACTCTCAACCAACCTAATTTCATTCTCATCACAGACCTCTCAGCTCACACTTCAGAGATGTTGCTTGTGGCTTGCTTGAAATGCAGTGCCCATTGAGCTGCATGCTCCAGCTGAGGCCTCACCTTAAATAACATCAGCCTGGGTTTGCCCAGATGCGATGGACGTACTCCTTGATTGATCATCCTGACCATTGATGAGAGTACTCAGACATCCTTCCTGTTTGTGTGTAAAGCAGACCTTTCTCCTGGTGGCATCTTTTTAGATCTGTGAGCACCAGGGAATATTTCAGGTGAAACAGGGTTTCCTAGGAAAATATCACATCAGTTTCAAAAGCTTCAGTGAGTCTATCCCATCCACAGGCCTGATTTGTTTGACATTATTTGTCCATGAAAAGCCTGTATTAGTTACACCCCTCCCTGTAATCTTGTAAGTAATTAGGAACATTTTATTTTTATTTTGTGGGGAATATAAGTTTATGTGATGGATCAGTAATTCCCAAGTTCCTTCTTTTGATCCTTTTTTAAAGTTTCATTTCCTATTGAAAGACCTGAAATGATTAAACACAGGATGTATTCTAACCTTGTTTTTACATATGAACCAAACACCTCTGATGGAGCATTCATTTGTGGTTGCCCACTTTGGGATGCCTGGCACAAACTTTTGCATCCGTTACTTTGAACTCATTCAGACCTTGCAGGTACAACATTTTGACAAACATTTATTCTAAAAGAGAAAAACAAATTATTAGTAAAGCATGAAGGTTACTGATGTGATACTTCAAAATCACAGAAAAATTTATAAATATACTACTTCTGAAATGCTCAGAACTAAAGTAGAGGTTTTAGTTAAACAATCTCTAAAAAACTAAAGAAAAACGAGAGTGGGAGAAAAGAGCTTTGCTCCTAACACTTTAAAAAGAGAAAACAGGTGGCAAAATTATTTGTTTGGAAAAAGGAAAGAATTTAGCTCACCCAATAGCCTGGCACTTAGATGGAACCATTTATTTTATTGTGTTCTAATAAGCACAGTATTGCTTTCCAATTACAACAAATCAGTACATAATGTTCCTACTTTGGTAATTTTTCTTTCCTAAGTGTATCAAGGTACATATTCAAATAAAAATTAAAACTTTTTAATATTTTTTTTCTCAATCTGCCCTGCTTAATAGAGGAAAGAGACAGAATTTTCCCAGAGGAGTTTTATTGCTTGCACAAATGACAGGAAGAGGCAACTAGATGTGTGAATGTGGTGGATGAGTATGAATGCATTCATGTGGCCAATCTGAATAAGTAACATAATGGACTCACATCCATGGTCCTGGTCTTCTTTGGAGATGAGCTAGGGGGTACTGAGACAAATATTGTCCTAGCAGAAAAGAAAAAACCCTAGAAAACTGTTTCCCCAAGAGTTGGTGGATGTAGTGCTAAAAACCAGAGTATTTCTGTGGCCAAGCCAGTGAAGTATATGTTTACTTTTAAGGATGCAGTTTGTCCCATTTATTTCATTTCAAGCATATGCTGAAAGAACACAGTCTCAGTGGGGAACCTTGCAAATTGACAGATTTCAGAGGAGAAATATCTGCTCTATAAAGAAGGTATGAGAGGAAGGAAGATGACTATGAGAAACAGTAGAGAATGAAGGATGTGCCTGTTTACTTTTCTAAAATGAGACATTTTTCTAACAGTAACAAATAAAATATGTTAGTAACTCCACAAAGACCAATATTAAGTAAAACGGATGCTTTTAGCAATTGAGTCAAGTATAACAAGATTAAAATAATTCTTACTATAAATCCTGTAATTTAAATTCAATTATCTCAGAGACAAATCGCTCCACAAAGTTTTTCATAGGTTCTATTAACTTAATGTGGATTTGAAATTCTGGCATTGCTCTAATAGTCTTCCCACATATTACTTTCAAGGGATCCCATCGGATTGTTTGTATAGCTATTTTTGCTTTCTAATAAAGAGAGGGTGTAACATGACTTACCAGAAAAGAAAATAAATTCATATTATTTTAGCCTTGTTTATAAGGTATATTTCTAATTTAAAGAAATAGTCTTAATCCACAAAATAAACACAGTGAATGGGAGAACTCCAAATTAACATTGGTTAGATATAACCAAACCTATTTTAGATAAATGAAAAACTAAGCAAAAAGGACATTACTGTATGTTTTAGATTAGAAAAGCTGAATGTGCAGGGGTGAGGACTGGTGTTAATGGGTCCTGAACATGGACATCATTGTGTCATTTACCACAGACTTTGCATGTGAATAATGTTTGGTTTTAGAGAAAAATATTTTATTGTCTTAGTGAAGATTTGCACAGTTAAATTTTTTTTATTAGTAGTACTACAGTGAGGTGTAATGAGCAAGTATGTGCTACTATTAGCGACTTGCAGCTTTAAGGAGTTTATTAATAGAATTTACCAATCTCCATTACTGCCAAATAAAAGCATGTTCGGGCATGTAAACTTCTACCCCCTCCTTGATATTTTAGGAGCAACCATATTCCCTAGAACCTAGTTGGTCCTAAAAATCTTACTTCACAGTGTGGTGAAATAAGACTAGTGAGATTTTTGCAACAGTCATGGAACTTTCTCGTCACTGGATGGAAGAATTGTGACTGCTGGTGGGTTCTGCCAGTCCAGACCACAGAGGGTGTGGAGTGCTGGGAAAGACAGGTTTGTCATCCTGCTAGGATGCTGTGCAGCATGGGAGACAGATCTGTTTGCTCATGTCACTGTGAACAGATCCACCAGGCTGTGAATACCTGAGGAGCTAAATCTTCCCTTGTGAGGAGTGGTAGAGTGAGGCAATGGGGACTAGAATATACGTTTTGACCAGGTGAATAGCAAAAGGGTAAATTAAGGACAAAGTTTGAAGATGCTTTATGCTTTATGTTTTTCTGTACTACTACAATGTCAGAACAGTGATACAATTTACAAGCAACTTTTTTTTCCTGTGTGAGGTTTGTGAAGCTTAGAGGGGGTTTCATGTTTGCGACCTGGTGGGTGAAACTGTGCCAGGTGGGAATGTTTGTGCTTTGGATGGAAAAGTACCAATCTGAGGAACTTAGAAGAGACTGAGCAGCTCCTGGTCAGCCAGATTTATTAGGCAACTGTTTCTAAGATAAAAGCATCTGAATCCCATGGAAACAAGCAGAGAAAGAGTTAGAGACAGGCAGACTTTAAGTGACAATATTTGTAGATGTCATGAAGACCAAGGGGATGATAAACCATGAAAATGACAAATCATTAAAACAAATTCTTTGGATTGCCTGATGAGGTGAACATAAGCAAATATATTTCTAAACAGAAAAATGCAAAACTTTGTACTGAAATAAAAATTTTGTAGGAAATATATATCTTTATCTATGAAAGAGTGACCCACATTTCAGCAGTTTGTAGAGAACTGCTGCCCATGGGATGGACTCACACTGGGGAAGTCTGTGGAGAACTGTCTCCAGTGAGGATGACCTAACACTGGAGCAGGGGAAGGACTCCTCTCCCTGAGCAGTGGCAGGAACAACATGTGATAAACTGACCCTAATCCCCTCTCCCTGTCTCTTTGAGCCATTGGGAGAGAAGATAGAGCTGGAAAGGAGGGAGGGGTGGGGGTAAGGTGTTTTTAAGGTTTATTTTATTTCTTATTATCTTGCTCTGATTTTGCTAGTAATAAAATCAATTAATATTCTCAAATCAAGTCTGTTTTGCCCATGATGGTACTTGGTGAGCAATGTCTACCTATCCTTATATCAAACCATGAACCCTTCATTATATTTTCTCTCCCTTACCAAGCTGCAGAGGAGAGTGATAGAGTAGCATTGATGAATGTCTGCCATCCAGCCAGGGTCAACCCACAATAGCAAGTAAAATATCCTGTAGCATATATGGTGTATAATCTTTTCTGACCAGATAATCAGCTGGGAATTTTTTGATTTTATAATCACAGAAATATGATATATTTTCTCTAGGTTAGAGAAAAAAAATAATCTATTTTATTACAGCAAATAAGGGCATACAAGTATCCTTATCCTGCCACAAAAACAATATATTTTATCATTAAAGGAAGTATGGGTCACAATAAATACCAGAGTACTAAAAATTCTACAGTGGATGCACATTTTCTGCATCTTTCATCTTATTCTTCCAATGATCTCCTAGATAGCAATGATTGAAGCTGTCCTTTTATTAGACATGACAGCTTCCACTGATGAGGTTGTTTGTAATTCTCAGTGAAGAGCAGATGTTAAGGTGAAATGTCTTCAGTTCTCTAACCACAGAGTTGTTGTTTTTGGTAGACTACTCAGACAGTGGTTCTGTGATCATTAAATACCAGCTCTACACAGTTGTACATCATTTAGCAGTACAAATTTGATAAAAATCAGGCAAGAGCATATGACTACATTTCAATTGGTTTAGCCAGAGCACACAGCAGAGTGTTTACATCCACTTTACAATTTTATGTTTATTTTATGCTGGCTTTAGGAAGACAGCATAAAGGTAAAGTTGCCTAGACAGAGAATTACTTGCTCCACATTAAATCTACATTAATCTGCTAGGACAAAATTCTCTCTTCAATTTATTGTTAACAAATCAGTGGAATAACTCTGCACCCACATAATGCATTCTTATGATTACAATGGCTTTGAGATTTGACACTAAGTTCCCAAAAAAATTGATTCACTGTGTTGCTAAACCACAGCTTGACAGCCAAGTTGGACTGAGAGTATAAACAGAGATACCAAAGAGCAATCTCATTGTGCCTTCTCCATCAACAAATGCCAAGCCGTGGGATACCTTTGAATTTGCCAGTGATTTCTGAAAAGAAAAAAAGGAAAGGAAATTCTTCAGCCATAACAGGAACACTTTCAGGAAAAGAGCTGGAGGTAAGAATGGTTTACTTTGAACTTGTTGTTTCAAAGTCAAGTTGAGTGTCTTTAGATGTAGAGCATTATTTGGAAGAGGTTGAATTCCCTCCAGTTTGACCTACATTGAGTTCTGTGGTTTGGGAGGGTGCTGTGTGAGCTGGGCACACCAATTAATTTAAGGATGGTAGTAGTCTTAGTAAATGAATAATGTAAAAGAATTAATAACTTCTTTGTCAACTGGCTGAAAAATTTCAGAAACCATAAAGGTGAGTTGGTTGGATGTTGGGTCACAATGATTATACTATTATTAAAAGCCAAAAGAAGCTGTGGTGACAAGGACCTGCTTTGAAATTAGCTTGGGAGGGAGTGTTCCATAACACTCTGGCACTACAAACATCAGGGTGGTCACTGTAGGAATGGAATTTGGTGTACTGATTTTTAAGGAAGAATGCCTTGGCCAGTCTGGGATTACAACACCAGAATTTATGATGTAGGAAACAGGAGAAACAAGGACTTAAAAGAGACTGGACAGATAATGAGCACAGTCTTTTTGGAATAATTCTGGAATGAGACCACTTACCTTCATGGAGGCAGATGGAGATAGCTAGATCAGGTTCTATGTCATTGCTCTACATTTTGAAAATTAATTTAAAAAACCTGTTTCAGGGCATGGAACAGCCCAGAAAGGGGAGCTTCACCTCTGATCTGCTGAATTTCACACATCTTTTATTATGTGAATCCACAAATATTGATGTCTTTATGAAGATTCGTTAACCTCAAGGTAGATTTAACAGTAGCATGCCAACTCCTCAAAGCACAAAATTCAGTGCTACTAGACAATCTTTGAAGACCCTTGAAAAGCACCACCTAACAAAAGTGTGCAGGAAGTTTAATGGTCTTTTTCTTCTTTTACTTGGAGATTAAAGAGCTCCATTCTCTTGTAGTTTTGAATGCAGAGTCTCTCATGCACTCATACAGTGCATAGGATAAATCTTGCCTGTTTTTTTTGGCTTATTTTCATCCTACATTGAGAAAATACATAGCTAAAAATACTTTGGGATGCTTTCCAGGGAATACCACCCATGTGTCCCTCAAGAGACTCGACTCTTCTTTAATGTTCCTTAACCCACATGGTATTCAACATTTCCTGTGACAGACTGTGCCTCCACAAATAAGCTGCACAAGTTCCTAGTATGAGCTGTGCACTGCATACGGTGGAATAATTGCCTTAAAAGAATGTTGAGGCTACAAAATGAAGCAGTCATAGAGGTAGGCAATGCCAAAATTAAGGCAGTCTGTGCAAACTCAATATGGTCCTGTTGTGCAAAAGCCTAGTCTGAGCCAGTGTCTCATCACATGTTTTTATCTCCTGATTCATTCCAGCTACAGGTACATCCAGATATTTAGTAGATGAGAAACCACTTGGTATTTCTTGATATTCATAATTTTCATCACTCTTCTTAGTGACTTATTAGCTTATACTTGCCATCCAAAAAAAAAAAAAAAAAGGAAAAGTCAGTCAGCATGAACATGGCTCACTTGACAAAGAAAATTGGCTCGGAACTTCACTGCATACTTTCCCTCACTGGTGTGACAAAACTGTGTTCAGATCATCTACACTTTAAGGAACTCTCCTGCTGTGTTTTTAAACACCTCCCTTCTAACAAGGCCCTGATACCCCTAACAGTGGAAAGCACTATGCAACCTGAGCTACAGATGCTACCAGCTGTTTTTCTGCCTCACATAGTATACCCTTCACAACTGCCATAGGAAGGAAAACTTGATCCTTACTCAGCAATATCTGTTCTAGAGCTGTATGCCTTAAACTACCAAGTGGAGTTATTTTCTTGGGTGAAGCACAAAATCCTGCTCCTCAATGCACCAAAGCTCTTCAGTGAATATCCCTCCTTCCATCATCCTTCCTGGCTTCAGACAGCCAAATCCTACAGCACAGGTCCCAGGGACAAGCAGACTTTCATCTAAATACCAGGTCTGTGTTTTTTCTATGAGCCAGCAACTATCAGTACCAGGCTGTAGAAAAACATCCCAACACCCAAACCCTTTGAACAGGGCATAAAAGACATTCTGTTTGAGAAATCAATGGAAAAACAGATGCCTAAATGGGTGCAAAGCGGTGCTGCTGCTATTAATGATGCAATGATTAATGATTCCAAGTATTTGGGATACAGTTAACCCTTTTCGTAGACTCATCTAGGCATATAAATAGAACTTGTATAATTTGACTTCTTCCTAAGCTACACAAATAGCCTCTTTTGCATTGGGTTACAACAGATTCAGGGACAAACAAGGCACTGACATGCAGAACTTTGCAGAACTTCTCTTAGCATTAAAATAAGCAAAACATCCCTCCCCTTCTCCCCTCTCCCAAACCTGCTAGGCTAATGGCAAAAAATAAAGCAGCACCATAGCTTCAAGAAGCCTCAGACACTCTGCTCTGGTTGTTGCAATCTTTCTGTTTGGCCTTTGAAGGAGTGAAGCAGCCCTTTCACACATCTTCTGTGGGAGTGTGAAGAAGACGAGCCCTACCAGCCTATTTTAAGTCCTGTGTCTTTGAGTGAGAGGAGACTTTCTGGAGTTGGGAAGGAGAGCTGCAGGATTTGCCCTGAGTTTGTGTTTTCTACCTAATGATATTGAATGGGTCTTCTTACAGCAGAAGCTGAAAGATGGTTTCCCTCCCCACCACTATTTTCATAAGCTGGTTGTTTACTATGAGATCAAACATGTTGCTTATTTGTGTCATACTACCTTAGCTACAACTCCTTTGAAGTGAAGCGGTTTACAAAGGTTATCCGCAATAGTCTGTAGCCTCCACTTTCTTCAGGAGCCTGAGTAATCTGCAGTTACAGGGATAAGACGCCTGATAATTCTCCCTCCAAAAAGACAGGGTAAAAGCATGCAGAGCCTGCCTGGTGCTGATAGCAATTTTACACGTTGAATCGTTGAAGCTGAGGAAGCTGCAGCTGCCAAAAAAATGGGAACATTTTTAAATTAAGACACCACACAGACCCAGGAAAATTCTCACTTAGCAAATGAAATGAGGACAAACAGCAAAAGAGAGGTACTTCATCACTGACTTTAGCAGCTAACTTTCCCTCAAGGGTGCATCAGCCTTCTTTTTTATTTTCCAATTGACGCTCCTGCTGGGTGTAGAAGGGGGAGAGGTGTAAGACCTCAATCATCCTTTCAAATCTGGTTCCCACTATAGGTGCATGGGAAGATCAGTCCCATCACTCCAACCCTTGTTTTGCCATAAAAAGGCAAGATTTCAGCAACCTTCCCCTTCTGTACTCAGGCAGAGTGGCATCTCCTTTCACACTTCCTCCTGTTCCATGTAGCTGGTGCTCTTGGATTCTCCGGAGCACAGTGAATGACTGAGCTGTTGAGAGTTATCACAGGGGACTGGTACTACAATGTAAAAGTGGCCGAGGCATGCAGTTATTCAGCTGTACTTATCTGCATGGGAAGGGAAGTGGAAGTCATGAGGAGAGGTATGTTGGCAGAACTGAGCAGCAGGAAGGAGGAGGGAAAATGCAAATGAGAATCTACTGAAGGCTAGCTAAAGGGAAGGGACGGGAAGACAGGACTGAATAGAGGAGGTGTGTATGTATCCAGCAGAGAGAGCACTGTGGTGTTGTGCTCTGTGCTTCTGCATAGCTTTCCCATCAACAAAGAATTTAAAAGAGTATATAGGTTTCTTTTTCACATACAGCTTTCTGATTCACTCAACCATACCATTCCTTTCCACCTCAAGTAAGCAAGAGAGTACAAGAAGACCAAAACAAACTAGAAAATAAGACAGACACTCTTTCACACTCTTAGGATCATCAGACTAAATGTATAATTTCTGCAGCTCCATGGAAGGCAGTGAAGATGAAATTACTTCTTCATGCGTACATTACAGTATTGCATAGTGATTTCTTGGCATCCATAAAATGCAGTGTAAATAGTTTGTGCTCAGTCCTAAGGGTGAGGTGCTTTGTTTGTTTACTTCTATTAGATCATGGTTATTCAGAAAACTCAAGGAAATATTTGATTGAAAATTTTAGTACAAATGAGGGAATTACTTAAAAAAAAAGGAAAATATTTGCAGAGTGATAAAATGAAAGTTTAAAAGTACCTCCATTTGAAGAAAACTGGAAAAACAGTTTAGAAATACACAGTACAATTGTGCAATTCCAGGCAGTACAGGAAGAACAAAAAAAGTTATTATACCCATTTTTATTTGTTCCAGACAGGAGAAAATCAGAAAGACATGAAAGGCAAGTGACATCATGCCAGACAACTTTCTGGTAGATAATGGGCAATCCAAATTTGCTATCTTGTGTTCTTTCTTAGCTTATGTCTGACATCCATCTGCTAGATTTTGCTGTACGTCACACCTACGTGGACTCAGTTCTTAGATTTTTTTCCTGAAGGAATAAAAAAAGGGGGACAAATGGAAGGACAAATGGAAGTCACTAATCTTTAATATGGAACAGATTTCATATTCAAGTTCTTTCATACAAAGTAATCAAAAAAAAGCAAAAAAACGGATTAGCAGGATAGAAACATAAACATTGAACACAATAATAACGGATTTAAATTAAACACAAGTGCGTAAGGAGGCTAAACCTTTCAGTCACAATCTGTTGTGTTAGTGTAGATACACAGACTGATAAATTCTGCGGTGTCTGGTTCTTAAGGAATAAATGTCACTTTGTGTCTTCTGACTGCATCTGAAGTCAATAAATCCATCTGCTGCCTTTCACGCATGTAGAATGCATTTTCATCCCCTTCCAGCCATGTTATGGCCAGCTTGCTATAAATAAATGACCTGCACAACAAATTCATATCCTTGAATTTCAGGCTTTAATTTAAGTATGCATATTGCAGTCTCTCCCAGGTACAGGAAGAAAGGGAAGAACAAACAGCAGTAATCCTAAGGTGCTTCCCTTGCCATTATAGGTTGTCAAGTGTGATTTTAAAATATTTGGCAAATGATAAATAAAGACAACAGGTAATTTCAACAAGAGCAGTCTATTTTAATTTCTTTTTCTTGATACCTTCTCTCAGAGATCTTGGTAGCACCACTGTAGACTGAGGGAAATATGGAGAATAACATACACCTCCTGCCATTAAATTAATGCAACATCTTTACTTCATCATAATGTGTTAACTTGTTAAAACTCATCATCTTCACGCTACACAATAAAACACTTGATGCAATACAGTACTGTGCTGTCACCCAGCTCACCTAGAAGACAAATTCCATATAAACTATTTTTTACCCTTTGTTGCTTTGCCTTGCCAAATTTTCCCTTTAAAGATAATGCCTGTGAGATGCTAATTGACATATTGTTTGGGAAAATTCTGAAGAAACCTCTTCCATTGAATCAGTCTTGACATATTAAACTATTTTTTGTTTGCATTTTTCTTTTGATATAAATAATATTTTCTCCTTTTTTTTCCTCAGAGAAGCTTGAATTTCATTCCAATTTTGAAGAAATTCAAGCCAACCAGTTGTCAGTGAAGAGCATCCCATCTCATTAAAGACCAAAACTAAGCAGAATTAGTAGTCTTTCATATTGCTCCCACATGTAGTAGGGTTGCTTTTCATCACTTGATGTGGCATGATTTCTCTTTTAGAATAATGCTATTGCTAAGACACCCACACAACTCCCCTCTTGTCTTGCTGAATTTCTAACTTATGTTTTATATCAGGTTGTTTGGCATAGAAGCAGATTATGGAGAGAATATTTTTAAGAGAAAAAGTGGTCTTCTCCATCAGAAGTACAAGGACAGTCTGGGTAGACTTGTGCTGCATGACTGAAGTCTCATCTCTTTGTTTGCATTTTTGGTGAGAACTGAAATATCCTCCACAAGAAATTGTGGATCTCAAGGGAGAAGAGAAGGGAAGAGACTGCAAGCTACTATTCACCAGGATGTTACAAAAATAACTTTCATGTGTCAAGTGGTACAGTGTAGGTGGTGCAATTTGGCATTATCTTGCATCAGTACTCGTCTATCACCACACTTTTAAAAACTATCCCTGTCCTTGGCATGGTGTTCACACACAAAGTGATTTCACTTTTTACTTTCCTGCAAAACAAATCCAGATTTCAGAAAAATAGAAGCAGCAGGAGGATAGGACTAACTAATCTTTACAAAATTTTTATATTTATATATACATATAAAACGGGATTTCCAAGTTTTTATTTCATAGGCACTGATAGAGCGAGAAGTTTCTATTTAAACAACCTAAAGAATGAGTTTGCAAATTTTTGCAACAAGGATTTACAGAAAACCCATGCAGTAATACTGAACTGAATTTGGAGATTTAAATTAGATTATTCACAGAATTGGCTATTTTACAACCTACTCCAGAAAGTAGTAGGCAAAAAGCTCTCATGGAACTTTGTCCTCCCATGACTGGTGTAGCAATATGGGCTCTGGTTACCCAAGCAACTGATCAACAACTTCACCTTGGCTGTAAATGAAATGTTGGAAAGAGATTCAAAAAAGGAAACAGGAAGCGGGGAGATAAATTGAATAGAAAAAAAATAATGCCTAGGATCATGACCAGGCAAGTAGTTTTAGTTTTTTGTCAGTACAAGAAAAAGGACTGGATTCTTAGAACATGACAGTATAAAGTGGCATTTAAAGAGGTGCCAAGAGAGTTTCAAAGCCTTTACTTATTGAGTCTTACTGAAAATGGCAGGTTCAAGTTGTATAGAGGATAAAGGGAATATTTTATACAAAACAAAACGTGCAGACATTATCCTCTTCTGGCAGTAGGGAAGCTTTTAACCTTAAAAAAGTCTAGATTGGTTATCTGGGGCATAGCATACTACTGTGAAAATACATAGTATTTATTTTAAAACTACTGGATAGCACTGGAGTAAAACCTAGGGTGTTTCAGCCTTATAATAGTGACTCTCTGATTCAAAGACACTGGATATACACAATATATTTACTTGAATCTTGTCAAAGTTACAAAGATTAGGGATACAATTCTATTCTTGTTTTACATTCTATTTATTGTTTCCATGGCACAAGCATGTGTTGGACTTGATGATCTTTAAGGTCTCTCCTAACCTAGTGATTCTATAAATTCTCTATTCTGCAAATAGTGTGGGATGAAGTCTTTAAACTAAAAGCTCAAAGAGGAAGTGTGGACACATGTGCTTATTCTATAAGGCATCTGATCTGGTACCTCTTGGCATGGTAACAGAATTTAAAACAATAAAAAATTAAGATAATAATCAGTGGTTTAAAATTCCACTGATTGAAAGGTGCCTTATCTTTAAAGGGTTGCTTCAGGTCCTAAAAGGGATTTGCTGTTATTCTCAACCATCATCACTAATTCGAAAGCAAGCAAGCATACTGTGTTATAACTGTTTCCAGATGACATAAATTTTGCAGGAATAGCAAATACTGCAGAATACAGGTGAGTGAGCCCTCTCAGCTGTTTGATAAGCTAACTATGAAAGTTTTAGGGCAGTCATGTGCTAAACAATACTTTGAAGAAATATGCAAAGCATCTGAGGTCATGGAAGCTAGAGACTGAACATATGCTCTCAGCGTGATCCTCTTAGTAAGGGTGGACACAATCTTTGCTGTATAATAGGAAACTGTATCATCTCTGACATTGGTGCAACACTGCAGCCAACACTGACACTGGCCAGAACACTGAATGTCCACCAGACTTGCAAAAAAAGAATCAAAAGGTTACAAAGCAATCAGAATTATTTGTTCCACCATTGAAGTTAGCCTTAATTTCTGATCATTGGAATTCCTGGCATATTTCTGTGTAGGAAGACAGACTCCTCTCCAACTAAATCACTATTCCATGTACTGAGAATTAGAAGTTGTGATCAAGATATAATCAAACTTTTTGTTAGGCAACACTTCAAGAAGATTGATTGCACTGTGTTGTTATTATTTTACAGTAATAACTGGTTTTTACTCTCTTGACCAATATAGGCTCCTGCTACATGCCTTTTTTTTTTTTTCTTGTGGGAGGTAGAAGGGCCAAGGAGCTCTTTTCTGATATTTGTGTTTTGGTTACAGTTAATGCAGAAGGATCTCCTTGTGTCTTCAGTGAGGAGGAAAGCTGTGACACTATTTGTTCCTGAAAATAGTGCTTATGTGTTTCTTTCCACTTTCATTAATCCAATTATTTTAGTGTGTGTAATTGTAGACAGGTAGCCTGTCTACAATTAAGATCCTGTGAAGGTTTTTGCACAAATTGGACCTGATGCACTGCAAATTCAGAGACAAGATGTCCCTGCTGAGTATCACCAACCAATTGTCAGTTCTTCGATCCAAGACTTCCCACTGCCTTCTCTGTAGAATCTAGAATGCTGTTGCAAACACTGGTATTAACATTAAAAAGCCTACAATACCTTGTCCCTTCTGTGAAGATTAGTTCAGAAGTCTTCTTGGGATCTGGTGGGTTTTATTTTCAAACTGAGCACTGAGGGCAAAACTCTCCTCCTCTGAGGAACCCAAAGCATGGACCTGACTTCTGCAGATTGTGTGCTCTGAAACTGAGGAAACCTCAGTGCACGGGCACAAAGTATTGTCAGCTGAGAGCTCATTTGCAGGATCGGCTCTCCTTTTTAACTCTGCTTAATTCTATCACTGAAATAAGGACAACAGGGTCTATTTTGGGGTTTAAATGTAATTTATTATGTAATTGTTGCTCAGTAAATGAGTTTACGTGGGATACAATAATACAGAATTTCAACTGTACTTTAAAGGCTGCCTTGCAAATCACTGTCATGTTTCTACTCGTTTAGGATCAGTGCTGTCAAATATTAACAATATACAGGAAATATGTCCTCCTTTTTCAGGAAATGCTTGTATCATTGAGTCAGTAAAACTGTTTCAGCTTAAGAGAATCAGATTTAAATACCACTTAGAGACATGCATAACATTTATAAAAACAATAAATATTAGTGGTATATTAAGTGTTTGGTTAAATTCAGAAGTTAACAAATTAACTACCTCTGTTTTAGTCTTTTTCTTTTCATATACAACATGATACAACAGTTTGATGAAACATTTGCTATTAAACATTTCTGAAAATATTTTAAGGACATGTATGTTCTGTACAATACAGCAGTTTTGGGTCTTGTGCAATACTGCACATAATATATATCTGTGTGTACTTTGTATATTATGGGTCTGTATTCCTTGATAGCAGGGGGGAGAAAAACAAACAAAGCTTCTGAGGATAAACAGCATTATTTAATTTTCACCAGCAGATATCATGTTATTTGGTTTTGAATCCTAAACCAATTTATTTAAAATTCAAATTTATTTAAACTGAAAATATATGTGATATCACTTAACTGATAAAACTTCTGATAGTAACCCTATACCTCAAATTGTCCCCTTTTCCTGCCTTGTAACTACAGGCAGGCTATAAGGTGCAGGCTGGATTCTTTATTACAATTCAGTTTTGCTGGAAGGAAGAGACTAATGGAATGTCACACTTTTAGTTCCCATCATTAGATACACACACTGTTCAATCTAGCTGCTTCTTTACATGTCCTTCTTGATGATTCTGGGCCCATTTTCCACTGACAGTATTCAGTCCATTTATGCCTAGGAAATTATATGAAAAAGAAAAACAATAACAACGTTGGATCTACAGCAGCCAGGGAGCTTTATTTATACTCCAGCCACATTCTGATGATTGGAGCAATCACATTTATTGCTCCAGCAGGTATTTTCCAGATCTAAACCAGAATATTTTGTGTCCTTGTCTTGTTTTGTAGAGCCCCAGCAGTAATTTTCCAGACATAATTTCCATCTTGCATTTTTCTGTCGTTTTGCTTCTCTCTCTTCCAGATTATTTCACATATTCTGACATAACCCAAGAAAACAACAGATGGCAACTTCATCCAAGTGGGTGTTATCCACTGGGACTGCAAAACAGGAGCTTGTTTTCCAGTAACTTCCTGCCTTTCAGGTTAAAAGTTGCAGAACCTACTGCGGTGCTCTAATGTGAGTCTCAAATGTGGGTTAGGGTTAGATTGTTTTAGGCAGAGTTAAGTCTGCTGTTTTCAGTAAGATGAGATGGAGCCCTGCCCTCAATCAAAATTTTGAATCCAACTTCACTGACAAGATTTGGGATTTCTAATGTGCAATGCGTGAGTAGCAGTGATAATGCAGTCCAGCAGAAGAAACAGAGGTAGTATAAAGAAAAATAGAATGTTGAGAAGTTGTGTGGTTATGTGGGAAACAAAACACAGTTAGCAGATTAAAAGGCTTGGAAGAGAAGCAGTAAGAGGACAAAGGGAAGAGAGAAGGAATAAAGAAGGAAAGGAAGGAGGATCAGACAGAAGAGAAAAGTGGTAGAGAGAGAAGGAAGGAAGGAGAGAAGGATGGATTTAAAATACAGGAGGGCATATTTAGCCATGCAGTGGTGTCACTGAACTCCTCCTGAGCAAAGTCCTTTTTCTTCAAAACTTTAGGGCCTCCAATTGTGCAAAAAAACCCCAATGAAAATAAATACTCTAAAAGTTACAAACAATGAGACACATTTTAATTGGATTTCTTTGGATAAAAGTGGGGCAGTGTGGTAATCACATATCCTTTGAATAGAGAGAGACATAGCTCTCCCAGGATTTTCCTGGGAAACTCTGAGAAGCTGTGAGAAAGCTCAGTGAAAGAATTAAAACAATTATTATCTCAATCTCTGCACCTGACAGGCAATCTCTGTTTGTCAAAGATGTTTACAAGAAGGAGTTGTCCCTTCTTGACCAGTAAGTGAGAGAAGATTCCTAAAAGCCAATCAAGTCATTGTTTCTATAAGAACTGTGAATTTCTAATAATAAAGTGCCTTTTCATACCTTCTGATGATAAAGTCTCTGTATCACCTTTGTCTGTCCCTGATACTCCTTTGGTGATAATTAGTGACCCAGTATCTGTATTTTGTCCTGACAAACAAGTAAGGAAAGTTTTCTTTCTGCTCCTCAACAAAAAAATATCCTTTTCATCAATAAAGGGAGAGGAGTGCAAATACTTTGAGCTACATATGGTGATTATCTATAAACTGGAGAAGTAAGCATAGAAGCATGAGAAAATTTAGCTCAGGTCACTGATGAATTTTCAGTTTTTTTTCTTTTGCTGGGCTGTCTCAGCCCACAGCTTAACCAGTACAGCAGGAGACAGCTGTAATAACTGCTACCAAATAAAGTGGTATGTATTATTCCAAATAGTGTCAGAACACAGGAAAAAAAACACTGAGAATATAAAAGCAAAAGTAGGGGAAAATCTTTAATTCTAGGATAAGGGGGAACTAGAATACAGGGCATGTCAATTGTCACAGCTGAAGAGGTTTCAAATGCATACAAAAAAGAACGATTCAAATCAGACAAAGATGTAAGTAGTTAGTTGGGTTTGCTTCATCTGCCTTTGGGTGTTCAAAGTAACCCATTTGACCTGAGCTAGTGAGGTAAAGTTCCCACTGGAAGGAAACAGATGTTTCAAAGAAATTCATCTGAACCATACCTGCCTTAGGTTAAGAGGAAATGTCCTTTCAGGCTGTCTGCTATTTTTTCTGAGTATAATGTGGACCTTCTGCTGGCTGCTCAAACTTTGGTGATGTTTCTATTTGTTCCAGTTAGAGCAACACTAGGCAGCCCAGGATATGCACTGTCACCACAAAAAGCATCAATATCTTGTTGAGATGAGGAAGACTTTTGTACTGGGTCCAGGAGGACTGTAGTAAGTGAACCTGAGCCAACACCTGAACACCCACACAGCCACTCATTTATCTCCCTCTCACATGAAACAGGGAATAAACAAGCATCTCTGTAGGTAGTGGCACTTGGCCAAGGTCAATCCACCACATAAATTGGGACTGACCAACTTTATGTGTTGGTCAGTCTTGTACTAAAATCCTTTATTTCACCTACTTTTCGGGAGGACTTTGTAGATCAACTTGTTGAATTACAAGATTGATAAACAATTGTTTACAAACCCTGGGAGCTATAAAAGCAATCTGAAATACTGCTATCATTAAAGATATTTTGCACTACTCATTTCTTCCATCAAGAAACAGAAAGAATATAAATGATGGCTCTTTCCCACAGACTTGTTAATAATGAAAAATCTTTACAGAACCAAGTAATAGGGTTGGTAAAATACAGATGTCATATTTTTATTGGCAACCTTTTCCTTGAGCTACCACTTGGCAAGAAATTAAAATTAAATTCCACATTTGAAGAATCATGTTTCCTGGGCTGTTGGGGTCCACTCCAGCTAGCTACAGACCCTTGCCCACATGATACTTCATAGATGAAGGTAAAATATTGAGAAGCGCTCTCCTCCGCGTGGGAAGCTTTGTCCTTTATTCCAAGACATACATCAAGTGGACAAACTTATGGGAGAAAAAAGGACATTCCCTGGTGGCAGGGAGCTTTTATACCCCGGGATGGGGACAGAGGGAGAGGTCGACAGCCAATGGGATACCAGTGAGGAGTGGTGAGGGGAGGGGTAACCCAGGCGAGAGACCACCAGGGGGTACAGGGATAGGTGAGGGAAAGACCATGTGATGGGGAAATGGGGTAACAAACCACATAATGTAACATAAGCTATACAGTGCAATATAAAACTATTCTGTGCAAATTCCCAATCACCCAGTGCAAGATAACAACTAAATTGGAGCATCAAAACACACATTTCGTGATACTGACAAAGAAGTAAGAGAAGTAAAAATGCTGATTTACTTACACACACATGCAAAAAAGAATAAAAATTCACTATGTGTAGTTCTCTAAACACTTTCCCTGTTTGTTCCACCTAATTTCTTTGATGTTTTCAACTACAATAGTTTCTTCCGTTTGTCTCCCTCTAGTGGATCACCCCTTTTGTGTGTCAGCAGATACTTTATTTTCAATTTTTAATTTTTCCATCACTGGTGTTGTGTGGCTATAATGTTATTATAATAATTGAATAATCTATACACAGCAATTACTCTATTTCATTTCTGATGATTGCATCATTTAAACTTGTATTTCTTTCTATTGCCCCAGGTATCAGCTGTCTGGGCTACAATTCATGCAAAGTATTCTCAATCCTCTTCTCATCTTAAAAAATACAATTATACTGTATTGCTTTTTGGTCATTCTTCTGTCTTCTAGATGATTTCAGGGACTGGATAAGTAGAGGCCTATGTAAAGCAGCCTTTTAAGTGGTCTAAATTAAGACCTGGTGAAACAAAATAAAGATAGGCACAGTTAAATCATGTCACAAATATGGAATGCCTTGTCTAAGCCTCTAGCAAGTATCATCTTTCAGCAACATAGATATATTCTATTGCTTGATGAATATAAGACAATGTGGCCTAGTCTTATTTTTCAAAGGATCCATACATAATCTGGGGAAGATTTATTTAATTTTAAGCAACATAGAACTCTGTCTTGGGCTTATTTGTATAATCTGCATCATGATCTTAGTGGTTTTGTGGTGGATCAGAGCCCTTCTGTGTTTAACATCTATAAACTACAGCAGAAAGGCTTATTTCCTGCCTCAAAGATCTTACACTGCAAAAGAAAGGGCAGCCAAAAAAGTGGACTTGGCAAAGAGAAGTGGGAAGGGAAGAAAAAATAAGATCTGATAGTTGAACTATTGCTGAATATTGTTAGTGTTAGCATAGGCTGCCAAACATCTTTGTGACTGCTGTATTTTATAGGCAAACGAGAGGTGTCAGGTTTACAAACTCAGATCTGAAGAAGGAAAATCTCATGACCACTGGTACTGCTATGTCTGAAGGGGCACAACTCTTCCAGAGCAGAAGTTTCTTCCTGTGAATACATTCAAATTATACTGTTGATTTTCTTTCCTTTTGTCCTCAACCCAGATAACACTGCTGTTCAAGTAGGACATAAACCAGATTCTGATGTAATTAAGCAATTAGCTGCACAATTAAATCTGAAGTTAAATAAGTGGTGTGAGCTGCTCTTCATAACTACCTGTGAAGTTACACCCAGGTTTATTTGTTCCCTGTTTACTGGACTCCCACCTCCCCTTCTTCAAATTCCTTCTAATACTTCTGGGAATAATAATTAAGAACAATAGCAAAAAATCTCACTGTCAACTTCCTGCATATTGAGATACTAAGCTACCACATTTTTACTTGGGCCTGTTCCCTCACATGGCAGTGAGCTGATTCATCTTGGACCAGCTTAGAGAGTGGAGAGAGGAGCTCATACCTATTCCTACTCCCCTTTTTATGTTTACTTGGAAAGGGATTTCAGGCGTTGATCTGGAATGAAAAATTGCATAAGAGGGCATTAGTACCTTCCCTTCTTACCCACTGTACTCCCTGCTTCCATAGCACACAACACAGTGGTAATTAGATTGTCAGCTACTGTTTGTGCAATAGAAAACACAGCCAAAGCACTCTCAAGTTTTAACAAAAAAATCCTCTCTCCTGTGAACTTGTGTAATTGTTCTCCTTGGACCGATTCTGCTAACGCCTACCCACTTGAATAACTGTACTCATTCTTTGAAATCAAAGTATGACTGACTAATTGCATGCAAACTGGCTTAAGCCCTTAAATTCTGAGCTTTTGAAGACAAAACTGCATCTGACATGCTTTGTGCTGCTCTTGAACTACTTCAGCACGCTATGAAGCAAGGAAATAAAAGTAGAAATGGAGGCAAGACTTTTAAGATGTCCTTAAACTGACCTTCAGAAAGAACCAACAATGAACACTGAGAGAAAATTTGTCAATGAAGAAGAATATTGTCCCAAGTGCAAACAAAAGCTTCACAATCCCATTTAAGCTTTCTTAGAACATTAATCCATTTAAGATATTAGGACAGAAAAATACCATTGCTGAGGACAGCAAGTGAAATTTGAGATGGGTTGGGTTGCTCTGTTCTACTCAGACAGATATCACATTTCAATTGTCAAAATACATTCAGAGGAATTGGAGGTCTTTTCTTATTTAAGAGGCTCCATTGTGGACTTTAAAAGTGTTTATTTTACCACACAGCCACTTAAAAAAAAAGGGAAAAAAAATCCATCTCCTAATGCATGAGCTAACAATGTAGAGGTAGTTTAATCTCCCCATAATTACCATTTTCACATTTCTTTCACTTGTCATAAAATCGAATCTTCCCAGAGAGACTGTCTGATAAAATTATACAGTACATCAAAGAGAACAAGTGAAAGTAAGTTTCATACTCACACACTGAAATTCTGGTTGACCTAAAAAGAAAGACGTTTTTGTATCTCCTGCATCTTCTTTTGGAATCTATCCTTGGTTCATGCAGTTAATGTCTCTAATTTTTAGTGTGAACTGTTTCATCTGAACGTAATGGAAAAGTAAAACAAAGAGCTGAAACAACAATCAGATTGTTAAAGGTTTGTCTTTGCCTATTGTGTAAAAGACAATGCTGCTGTATTAAAAACACTAAGAGAATTCTTAGTTAGACTTTCCCTGGAGGACCTGTGTTAAACAGTCTTGCCCTGATTTCAAGTAAAGATCGTGCTTCACTTCAAATGTAGACTTTAAGAGATGAATGACAAACATCTTCAAGGTCTTTTCTTTTAGAAAGAAAATCCTATCATGATTGCATGACAGCTGGCTTTTTTTTTTTCCAAAAATTTTAGGCCATTCACGTTAAAAAAAGATTTAATCAATTTTCAGTTTAAAATTCCCAGAAAAAAAAGTAGTGTCATTCATTCTAATTTATATTACACACAAGAGATTATATTAATGAAACTCTGTGGGATTTCAAATCTCAGACCAGGTTATTTAGAGCTATTTTAAATCTGCATTTTCATACATGTATAGCCTGTGAAGGTTTTCATTTGTGTTCATGT